GCATAGACGTTTACTAGTTTCATAATTTTGTCCCCAGTATCTATGTCTGCAATAATAAACCTCCCTTCGGGGTCAGCAAAATGTTTCAGAATTTGAAATTGAAAATTGTTGTTGAACAGTATAGCAACACCTGCCCTAGAGCTTGAGAAGGTTGTAAAAATAGTCGAATATCCCCATTCAGAATGCCAATAAGATTCTGTCTCATTTGTGCTACACTGTATGCACCTCTGGCAAAAAGTAAATAGAGAACTTTTTTTTCTTTAACCATTAAAACGTTTCTCTCTGTTTAGTATTGTTTGACAAACCTTTGACGTTTAGGGAGCAAATTACCATATCAGATGGCATGGTGAAAAGGTGTGAAAGGAAATCCTTTGTCGAGAGTGTCAGGAGAGCAGCTATGTAACTTATCATTGTAACTACTAGGCCTAGATATTTGCAAATTGTACAAGGTACATGAAAAGGATGGACAATAACACACAGAAGAACGTAAACACAGATACAGACACATATTACAGTAATAAATCCTTTTGGGTTCCGTCGCCTTTGGTAATAGCCTGGTCGATGTTCCTATATATAGAACTCCCTGACATCGTTAAACATAAAAGTTTGAAAAAAAAAGATAGGTGGAAAAGTTGTTGCAAAGAGATTATTTGGCATTTGTAGAGAAAAACTTATTATTGAAAAGGATATCACTTTATTGGTTCACCAGGGGCAATGTACTTTCCATTGAGAAACAATTTGTTGGGCTGAGCTTTACTAAAGTAGGTGGTAAAGCCTTTTTCCCTGGGTTTCTGTAACTTCTTCATTTGTCCTTTCCTCGAGTTGTACAGCAAATTCGGGATGTCATTGTAGACGTAAAATTCCGTGTCCTTCAGATGTCTCCAGGCCTGATCCATCACTAGTTCCTTATCTCCATAACACAAAAAACATGCAATAATCGGACGTGACCTTCCACTTTTCGGTTTTCCTAAGCAGTGAAGCCTTTGAAATTCAATTCTTTCTCATGCATTTGGAATCTTAAGCTGATCTTTGAGAAATTTATAGATAATCCCTCTTGTATCTTGTATTTGTGCTTGTACGCTATTGTGATCTTCGTCACCACCATTCATGTTGTCAACTTGCTCTTCTAGTAGCCTCACAAATTTTACGTTTTCCCTCCTTGAGTAAGTCTCCATGTAAAGAAGTTGTTTCTGGAGCTTGCAAACATCCTGTTGTAACTTTTTGTTTTCAAGTTTTAAGGCGGATATGTCCTCCTCATTAAATTGAATGCTTTCTTACAATTTATTGACTGTTGAGCCAAGTTGTTTTGACTTTGCTTTTAGATCTTCGACTTCTGAATCCAGCCTGCTTACATTTTCTTCA